TTAAATTGGTTGTTAAAAATAATTCATAATTGTAGCTATTAACTAATTTATTATTTTATAGTTTGAAATTATCATATAAGATATAAAGTTAATGTTTTTAAATACTCTAATGAGCTATTTAAGAAAAATCAGCCAAACCAAGAGAGTGAAAAATTAGATATTTTGTGTGATCTATGAGCAAAATAGCATAAAGACGCACTTGCGGCTTCGGCTGCGTTGGAAGTGCATCATCCCCTTGGCATCTATGTTAAGGATTTTAGTTGCCACTGCTGCAACAATATTATACCTACTCCCTTATCCCCCAATTTCCCACTGAAAAAAAAAAAAAAAAAAGCATAAAGACAATGGGGCATCAAAATACAGCATTTGGGTGACAAGAGGGAACCATGGTGCATGGTCATTGTTGGACGGTAATTCCCCACTGCTCCATGCAAGAATATCCTCTTTTCTCGGAATTTGTTTGTTAGAGCCTGTCTGAATGATTATCTTTAAGCATGAAGAAATGGTTTTTTAGTGAAGAGCTTTTGCAGGAGTTTGGAATCATAAATTCTACCTAAACAAAATTATTAAATTTAAAAGTTTACCAGTAAAAATTATGTTGTAATTACGAATTTCCAGTATAAAAGTTTTAAGAGGGAAACGCATTTTTGTATACGGGAAAAAATAAATTTGGCTCATTTTTGTATACGCGAAACGTCACCCATTTTGCATTGCGCATGCTTGTGTTATCTGTTATCACCACCTCCCACTTCCACCAGCACCAGCACCAGCACCAGCACCACCACCGGCCACCGCACTCACCTCTTTCAAAATTAACTTCCTCCATCCTCTGTTTGCCGATCTCACAACTGGGTTTCAAGAAATGAGCCTGTGCGGCGGGAGTGTTTCTGCGGCAGACTTCACCTGCCAAACCAACTCAATTCCCACGCCCGCAGGACAACAGAGTTTGAAATTTTCATTTTTACAAGCAAGCAAAAGCACGAATGGGAGGAACGTCGCCCGTGGTCCTTTGCAGGTTGGTTTTTGCATCCACTTACCTTCCCTTCTTTTCCTGACTAAAATAATCGCTTCATCTGCTGAAATGATTTAGGTAGTGTGTATGGATTACCCAAGACCAGAGCTTGACAACACTGTTAATTTCTTGGAAGCTACTTCTCTATCTTCATCTTTCCGTGCTTCCCCTCTACCGGCAAAGCCACTCAAAGTTGTAATTGCTGGGGCAGGTCTCTGCTATGTCCTTTTTCTTATCTCTTGTCAAACTCTGCTCCTTTAGTTAATTTTCTCACTCCAATTCTAACTATTCTAATGTTAGTTTTAAAATTTTTAATTTCAGCTTTAGTTGGTTTGTCCACTGCAAAATATTTGGCAGATGCAGGTCACGAGCCTCTGTTGCTGGAAGCAAGAGATGCTCTAGGTGGAAAGATTTTTGTGCTTTCTTTTCTTCTGTAAAATCCATAATTTGAAATTTCTTGCATTCTACTTTTAAAACTTAGAAAAAGTTAGTTGTTAATTATTTGGAGAGAAATTTTTTACTTCGTCTTTTGTAAACAAGAGCAAATTTTCGTGCAGCATGCCCTAGTGTGAATAGATATTGGAGTTCTTTTGACCCTATGTCATCATACAAATTCAAATCAAGTCTTGGATTTTCTTGATCTGTTACTGGCACTTATTTAGATTTCCATCACATATCACATTGCTAAGTTAATTGCTGCAGTTATGGTTAGGCAATTAAAATGATTTTGAAAGGACAATGGTCAATAGTTTAACCCTGTATGACATGGTGTCACCTATATTTGTGATTTTTTTTTTTCTTTTGTGCTTGCAATGTAAAGATTTGGCCTTGTTTCTTATAGGTGGCTGCATGGAAAGATGATGATGGAGATTGGTATGAGACAGGGCTACATATATTTTGTTAGTTTACATACTTCTTATTTTTCTTTTTCCTCTTTATTGAACAGTGGTGAAGTTGTGGTCTATTTACATTTCTAATTCAATACTTACTGATATAATTTGTTTAAATCCCCTTACTTTATGTGCTGCTTATTTTACTTTAGTGCTATTGTTCACCTTAGTTTTCTCTTGGGACTTCTACATAGATAGGTCATAAAGAAATCTAGGTGTCGCACTATTCAAAATTTTATTGCTTTGTTCATAGCCACACTATTTTTATCTTCTAAACTATCTGCTGCTTGTCAAAAATAGTTTTTCTTTTTGTTGCTCGAAATATTCAAGTTATGTTGTTTCCCTTTTCCTTTTGGAAGTTGGTGCTTACCCAAATATTCAGAACCTGTTTGGAGAACTTGGTGTCAATGATCGCCTGCAGTGGAAATAGCATTCTATGATATTTGCAATGCCAAATAAACCAGGAGAGTTCAGCTGGTTTGATTTCCCAGAAGTTCTACCAGCACCTTTCAATGGTAAGAAACTAATAAGTATTATAATTAAAGTATGAGTCAATATTAACATCTATAAAGTTGCAAATCACATTTGGACATGACTTGCTTTTACGTATGTGGTTGATGTGATCAACAGGAATATGGGCCATATTGAAGAATAATGAAATGCTGACTTGGCCAGAGAAAGTGAAATTTGCAATTGGGCTCCTGCCAGCAATGATTGGTGGGCAGGCTTATGTTGAGGCTCAAGATGGTTTAAGTGTTACACAGTGGATGAGGAATCAGGTATAATATAATGGTTACATTTATCAAAATCTGTTTGCAAGGGGAAACCAAGTAGATAGAATATCATGGTGTCATTAGCCAAACAAACCAACCTAATGGTTACCAGCTTGGTAGCTGAGTAGATAGAATATCATGGTGCCATTAGCCTAAAAAAAAAGAAACCTAATGAGTACCAGCTTTGTAGCTGGTGAGTTATGAACTGAGGTCATCTCATTTGATATTGCATATCTATTGAGTTTAATCATAATGAATCTTGTGCGGTTCCTTAATTAAAAAAATGAAAATAAAAAAGAAATTGCAGATAGTTATAAGTACAGGAAACTAACTAATTTTACATTTTTCCTTGTTAGGGCATGCCTGATCTAGTGACTGATCAGGTGTTTATTGCCATGTCAAAGGCTCTAAACTTCATTAACCCAGATGAACTTTCAATGCAGTGCATACTGATTGCTTTGAACAGATTTCTTCAGGTATTGCAATCCTTCCACTTTTACCTATGGTAAAATTTTGTTCGAGAGCTGTTATCTAATTGTTTGTTATTTTTATTATTTATGGTGTATAAAATCCATGCCATTTTATTTATTTAGAGTATAATGCTAGGTTTTTCAGAATTAATAAAACTTAATGTGCAGGAGAAGCATGGCTCAAAGATGGCATTCTTAGATGGCAATCCACCAGAGAGGCTCTGCATACCTATTGTTAATCATATTAAGTCACTTGGTGGTGAAGTCTGACTTAATTCGCCAATAAAGAAAATGGAGCTTAATGATGATGGGACTGTAAAGAGCTTTGTACTAAGTGGTGGTGATGTGATTGAAGGAGATGCTTATGTGTTTGCTACTCCAGGTATGCTAAATGTTTTCTATTATACTATATAATTCTTTGTGTTCTTCTTGTTGCTTTTTCTATTGTTAATTACAAGCAGGTTCACCAATAATGGTTCATGGATTGTGTTCCAATCAGTTGACATCCTGAAGCTTCTTTTGCCTGAAAGTTGGAGAGAGATTCCGTACTTCAAGAGATTGGAGAAATTAATTGGAGTCCCAGTCATTAATGTTCACATATGGTTAGTTATAATTCTCTCTTTGTGTGTGTCTCTATCTCTCTACCTTCCCCCGCTCACCCTTCTTGTGTTTAATGGAACTTTTTTGCATCTATTTTGGACTTGAGTGTTTTAACATCATTGCTATTGATTAACAATATATTATATCCTTCATATCTGTCCAACTGCAATTCCACTCTTGAGACTGTCTTCAAAATGTGAATGCTTGTGTGACTTATGGAAGAGTATGTGTGAAAATGTGGAACCTTATGTCCAGATTATAATTCAGAAACTAAGATACACATGCACACAACCTGTGAGTGAACAAAATTTGAATTGTTGATGATAGGTGATGCTTGGCATTTATATTATGACCCCATGTTTACGTCAAGGAGAGAATGTTAGTTGCATATTGGGACTCTAATGGGCCATTTACTATCACCTCACGTCCCCTGTTTGGAGAATTGGCAAGATATTGAGGTCAAAGGAAATCCCTTAAGAAATTAGTATGCTAGATGGGATTATTTAGGAATTTTGATTTTTTGGGTTATTTGCAGTTTTGATATAATTGTAGGATCTATTATTGGATTATGTTATTTAGTATATCCGCTTATTTTTAATTTTCTATTTCTATTAGAACTAATTTGAAGTAATTATGTAATTTTGTCAGAGAGTGCTTATGTTGGAATCAGGGTTTTGGTTATATATAAATGCTAAGCCAGGTTGAAGAGCTATGAAGAATTGATTTTCCTCTATTATTTTTCCATGGTTTTGCACTTCTATTCCTCTGCTTTCTCCCTTGTTCTTCCTTTTTATTCTTCTTTTATTTTAGCATATCAGCAAATATATCATGATATCTATTGGTAGGTTATTTGGTTCGAGATTATACTTCTGATTTGTTAAAGACTCGCTGCTAATGATTCAGATGTGATTCTAGTGGTTGACTGACACAGATTATCTTCATATGCAGGTTTGACAGAAAACTGAAGAACACATATTATCACTTACTCTTCAGCAGGTTGTACTTTGCTAGGCGTACGATGAAGCTTCTATTTTCTGTAACATTTTTTGTCAATAGAACTTAATTTAATTAAAAACCAACAAGATGGTAGACCTTACTGGAAACATTAATTTTGGGGTTTAGGTCATACTTCAAACCTCTGCCATAGGTAAGCACACTAATTTCTCATCTGTCAATAATTTAATATAATAAAATTCGAATGTCACCTCAAGGTATGTTAATGAAATTCTGGTTATGCATTTCCATATATCCAGAAACTGAAATAATCCCATCATTACCATGATTTCGGTGTTAAATTGACCAGACCTTTTGTCAGGCACAGTCATTGGACTGAAAATTCACATTTGCACTATTTAATTTGGATTGAACTTGTTCACCTAATTATTTCCCCATTTTCTTATTAACCCTCTTCCTTTTTTTCTTGCAGAAGTCCCCTTCTAAGTGTGTATGCTGACATGTCTGTGACATGTAAGGTCAACATTGTCATTGATGGCTATCTATTTCGTTGTTCTACCTCAACTTATGTTTCTTTAAGCCAGCAGGTTGCTGATATTTCTCTGCATGATGGATGTTTGCAACTCCTTGTGTATGATTATTGATTAGTGCAAAATGTTTTTTGTGATGTTCAATTATTAATAGAGCACGATGGACTTAAACACAAGTTAAATATTTCTACTCTTTCCTGACAAGATTATGGGATTTTGATATGAATTTCTTCCTTCTTACTTGCAAGTACGAACAAAACAACATAACATTTGTTGTGATTAACAAGGCTTTTTTATCTATGTTTTCTCTTACTTAATGTTCTAATGTTTTATGCAGGAATACTATAACCCAAACCAATCCATGTTGGAGTTGGTTTTTGCCCCTGCAGAAGAATGGATTTCAAGAAGTGACTCTGAAATTATTGATGCTGCAATTAAGAAACTTGCTAAACTTTTTCCAGATGAAATCTCTGCAGATCAGAGCAAAGCAAATATCTTAAAGTATCAGGTTGTTAAGACACCAAGGTTAGACTCAAAACTAAAAAGTCAGTTATTCAGAAAATGTTAAATGAATTTTATTAAATTATAATTGCTGCTGGATGGTTAGAGTTTTTTGTCTATATACTCATGGTAGTGCATAAACATTGTAATTGTGGCAATAACTCATTATTTTCTATTTGTAGATGTGCATTTGTATAAATATTATTAATGATCCTTATTGTACAGCACCAAGCCTTAACTTTTATTATGTTTCTAGTTCACTTACTTGACATAACTCCTAAATTTTGTTAGGTCTGCATACAAAATCACCCCAAATTGTGAACCATGGCGTCCTATGCAAAGATCTCCTGTAGAGGGGTTCTATCTAGCAGGTGACTACACAAAGCAAAAGTATTTGGCCTCAATGGAAGGTGCTGTTCTTTCAGGGAAGCTTTGTGCACAGTCTGTTGTACAGGTACTCTTTGTATTATTCTATCCTATGAGAACTTCTGCTTTTGCAATAAAAAAAGCTTTGTCTTAGTTCAAACTTATGAGTTGCCTTAGATGCAATGGCTGTTGTGGCATACAATGCAGTCAAGGCGTCATTGGCTTATTGCTGATATACTGAGATGTGCAGGATCACAAATTGCTTGTTTCGTTGGGGGAAAGGAAGTTGGCAGCGGCAATACTCTGATTACATAATTGGGATTAGATTTTGCGAGGCACTGAGAATCATCTAGAGATTGGTTGCTTCACAAAAACAAGGTGGTATATTATTTCAGCAATGTTGATATCATTAGTTCATTACCCCATAAAAATTGGTAATCTCTACAAAGACAGCTTCCTGAACTCTTCAAAAGTTTATATCCTTAAGTTCTATCATTAGTCATTTTGTAGTTAGTTAATAGCTATCTTTATTGGCAATATGAGTAAGCCACTTCTGTCTTTTTGTCGTTTTCTTTCTACTGTTCTCTCTCTCTCTCTCTCTCTTTCAGGTGTCGTGTAATCCAGTCTTCAATGTGGGGCTGTCTTTGGACTGCAAAATCAAGAACCTTTTTTTTTCATTATTCCAAGCAAAGAATCTGATAAGTTGGCATACCCCACAATCAAATTAAGCATACTTCTCTGTTATTTTTCTTCTATTCTCTTCCTCTTTTTTTGGGCCTTTATTCCACTCAAAGAATATGGTACTGTGCACGGAATCAGAATTGAGTTTTGGCCATCATCTTCTATAAAAGTGGAAATGGAATAATCTCCTCGTATAAGCCATTCGACTCTATCAAACAAGCAAAGCATGTATACTTCTTTCTTTTCCCCTTCTATTGCCTTCCCTTGTTTGCCATCATTCCCCGCAAAGAACCAAACCAAAATTGAGTTTTGGCCATCGTTCTCTATAAAGCATCTCATAAGCCATGTAACTCCTTGAGCAAACAATTAAGCATACTTCTTTCCCTTTTTCCTTCTATTGTTTTCTTCATCTCTATCATGGCTGAAGCAATTGTTTCCAGGGTGCTGGAAAAGTTGAGTTCAGTATTAGAGGAGGAGGTGAGACGCATTACTAATGTTCGTGGTGAAGTTGAAAAGCTCACCAGCAATTTTCGAGCCATCAAAGCTGTTCTTGAGGATGCGGAGCGGCAGCAAATGGGGAAGGGAAAGGCCAGTGTTCGAGATTGGTTATACAAGCTCAAGGAAGTCTCATATGACATTGATAATGTGCTGGATGAGTGGAGCACTGCAATTTTCAAGTCAAAACTAGAGAAGAAGAAGGTATGTTCCTTCATCCCCTCTCCTTCCTTCTGTTTCAACAAAGGGAAATTGCTTCACAAAATCGCACACAAGATATTAGAGTTGAATGGGAGGTTGGATGTTATTGCAAATGAGAGAGAAAAGTATGGTCTTAAAGAATTAAGTGTTGAAAAACCAAGTAGAGGAGAGCAAACTACCTCTCTCTTAAATTTAGCAAAGGTGTGTGGTAGAGTTAAGGATGAGGAGAGGATTGTAGATATATTATTGAATGAGGGTGGAATTGACGTGATCTCTATAGTAGGTGTTGGGGGGATTGGTAAGACTACTCTTGCCCAACTAGCCTTCAATAATGAGAAAGTAGAATCTCATTTTGAGAAGAGAATATGGGTGTGTGTCTCTGATCCTTTTGACGAGATGAGGATTGCCAAAGCAATTCTTACATCTCTTGGTAAGGATGTAGGGCAAAATTTGGTTGAATTAGAGGATGTATTAAGACTCCTTAGAGACTCAATCAAGGATAAGAAATTCCTACTTGTCCTAGATGATGTGTGGACTGAACAATATGAAAGGTGGGGTCCACTGAAAGACTCGTTGAGTTCTAGTTCACTAGGAAGCAAAATCTTAGTGACCACACGTAAGGAGACTGTAGCAAGAACAATGGGTTGCACTACCTTGTTCCCAATGGGGCAGTTGTCTGAAGAAGAAGGTTGGTTGTTGTTTAGTCAAATAGCATTTTTGGGGAGGTCCAATGAAGACTCTGAAATTTTGAGAGAAATTGGTAAGAAAATAGCAGGAAAGTGCAAGGGCTTACCACTTGCTCTAAAGACAATGGGTGGTCTCATGCTCTTGAAAAAAACCGTAAAAGAATGGCAGAGTGTCTTAGACAGTGAAATATGGGAACTTGAAGTGGCTGAGGAAAGTCTTTTTCGCCCCTTAATGTTTAGCTATTTTGATTTACCATCACACTTGAGGCAATGTTTCTCATATTGTGCAGTCTTTCCAAAAGATTATGTGATAGAAAAAGGTAAGTTAATTGAGTTATGGATGGCACAAGGTTTCCTTAAGGGGACCAAACATCGAGATATGGAGACTGTAGGGGAAGACTACTTCAATGACTTGTCAATGCGTTCTTTTTTTCAAGATTTTGAGAAGGATGAAAATGGTGGCATTATCAAGTGCAAAATGCATGACATAGTGCATGATTTTGCTCAGTTTTTGACAAGAGGTGAGTGTTTGACGGTGGAAGCGGGAAGCAGTAGTAGGATTGAAGGTTTTAACGAAAGTGCTCGTCATGTGATGTTGAGGATTCCATATGATAGTGATGAATGTCCTACTCGTATTTATGATGCTAAAGACTTGCACACTTTGCTAGTTGAGTCTGATGGAGTTGGCCAGTATAATGTAGATTTATTGAAGTTGTTTGATAAGCTGAAATGCCTGAGAATATTGAAATGTCATTCTGAAAGAATTAATAAATGTCCAAAACAAATAAGAAATTTGATACATTTAAGATCTCTTGACTTGTCAGATAATTTGTTTCTAGAGGAATTGCCTGATGCAATTTGTGATTTATATAATTTGCTTATACTAGACATTAATGGATGTCAGAACCTTAGAAGTCTGCCTTGTAGAATGGGAAATCTAAAAAATTTGTGGCATCTTCGGAATGGGTCTACAGATTGTGTGGAATTCATGCCTAAGGGAATGGAGAAATTGACTTGTTTGCGAACATTAAGTTCGTTCGTGGTGGACAGTGGTGGTAAAGGAGCTGCTCTTAGTGAATTGGGAAACTTGATTCACCTTCGAGGGGATCTTGAGATAAGAGGATTGAGAAATGTCAGAGATGAGAGAGAGGCTGAGAAGGCACAGTTACAAAATAAGAAGGGGCTCACTACTTTGGTTCTGACTATTTGTTCTACTTGGTTTGGTAAGAGCCAAGTTTCTGAAGCATCTGTTCTTGTTCTTGAAGCCTTAGAGCCGCCTTTAGGCTTGGAAAGGTTACTAATATGTGGCTACAATTGCCCAACCCCATCCTTAGGGGTTTGGCCCAGTTGGATAGTGTCTCTAACCAACCTGAAGTTCTTTCGGCTCTATAATTGTGTCAACGTTGAACAGTTGCCTCCTTTGGGGAAATTGCCATCACTGGAGTCGCTCTATCTGGAGGGTATTGAAGGAGTGAGGAAGGTGGGAGTTGAATTCTTGGGAATAGAAACGTCATCTTTGTCTCCATCTTCTTCTTCATCATCTGTTGTTGCCTTCCCCAATTTAAAATCACTAGAATTTCGGAGAATGGGGGAGTGGGAAGAGTGGGATTATGGAAGCAGAGGAGAAGAGGATATCAAAATCATGCCACGTCTTTCTTCCTTGGAGATTCGTGGATGTAAGAAGTTAAAGATGTTGCCGGATTCTATTCTCCAAAGTACTACCCTCCAGAATTTGAAAATTTATGGGTCTCCAGTTATTTCAAATCGCTGCAAATGGGAATACTGGCCCCATATCTCTCGCATCCCCAATAAAGACATCTAGTGAAAACCTCAACTCTGCACAGGAGCAAGGTACTTCACTTTTGCTTATAACATGTTCAATTTTTTTTATTTTTGAGTGAGCGACAAGGCCCGTACATATTCAAATATTATTAAATCAAACACTTTACTTCTATGCAGAAATTGTTTAATGCCCTAAAACATGCAGAAATTGATCCTTTTGTATTCTTTATATATATATATATAT